AGAGGGAGCAGGACTCAGTCCCTGTGAGATGGAGGTCCTTCCTCCCCAGCAAAGGGAGCAAAGGCTGGGGAGCTGGGATGGAGAGGAGGAGTAACCTGGGATCAGGATGTTAATGGGGAGAGGTGTGACGTGTGGGGCTCTGCACAGAGCAGAACCTCAGAGCAATGGTGCCATACTTCCTCCTGAGGCAAGTGGGCTGGCTCACTCACCTAGAAAGTGATTGCAGCACTGCCTTCCCCAGATGGCGATGGGGACATGAGAGACAGTCGTGTGCATCTCCTGGCCTACAGAAAGGCTCTGGAAGTGGGCATTCTCATCGTCTGCAAGATAAGGGTTTGCAGCCTCAGGCTGGTTCACAGTTGCAGCCAGGAATAGGGGCACATGGAGCTGTCAGCCTTGTAGGTGCTGAGTCCTTCGCAACTGCAAAGGTATGAAGGCCCTTGGAGAGGTCCCGGTGAGTGGACAAATGGGGTGGGAAGAGAGGGGGAGTACGTTAGGGGACATCTTCCTGGAAGGTGATGGTGAGGTGAACAGGGGAGAGGTTGCCTCTCCTATGTGGACCCCATCTTCCCAACCCCTCCCCCTCCCAGCTCCATGCTGAGCTGTGCTTATTATTACCTACCCTTTTATGTTGGAGTTGCTGTAGTCCAGGAAGCCTAAGGGTGTTGTGTGTGTGTGTGTGTGTGTGTGTGTGTGTGTGTGTGTGTGTGTGTGTATGTGTGGGGAGAGAGAGAGAGAGAGAGAGAGAGAGAGAGAGATCTTCTCTATGTCCAGCTTTATCACAGCAGACAGGTCTAGAAGACCTTTCAGGAAAACTGCTGTCCCTTGGTGCCGCCAAGCTGGCCATCTCTTCATAGTTGTCTCCCTGTGCCCCATCTGTGAGTGATTAGGGAAAAGAGGGCTGAGAAGAAAGTACAAGCTGTCGAGTCTGGGATAGGACCACTTATAGTTGAGAACTACTTAGTTTGGGGTCAGGTGTCATAATCACAAAGGTTCAGGCAGGCAATGGCTCTGAGGGATAAGTAGAGGTAGCTGTGACGATAATGGTCATGATGAGTGTGGGTGGTTCTAGTCACGTAGAACTGGACTTGGTAAAATGGTCTGTGATGGATGATGGTGACCATGGTTTATTAGTTACTTTTCTAATTACTGTGACAAAATACCCAATAAAGCAAACTAAGAAGGACCATGATCAAGGCAACTTAAGGGTTTATTGGGGCCTTAGAGTTCCAGAGGGCTAGGACTCCAAGACAATCTCGGTGGGGAACATGGCAACAGTCAGGCATGGCATAATGCTGGAGCAGTGGACGAGAGCTCACATTTCAGACACACAAACAGGGAGCAGGGAGGGCTCGCGGGTGGCGGGGGCCTTAGCCCACCCTGGTGACACTCCTCCTCTAACAAGGCCACACTTCTTCTTTTTAAAAATAATTTATTTAGAGCCAGGCATTGGTGGCACACGCCTTTAGTCCCAGCACTCGGGAGGCACAGACAGGAGGATCTCTGAGTTCGAGGCCAGCCTGGTCTACAGAACCTCCAAAGCAATACAGAGAAATCCTGTCCCAAGAAAATCAAACCAATACTAATAATTTGTTTGCATTTGGTGTTTTGCCTGCATGTATGACTGTGTGAGGGTGTCAGATCTTGGAGTTACAGACAGTTGTGAGCTGCCATGTGGGTGCTGGGAATTGAACCCAGGTCCTCTGGAAGAGCAGACCACTGAGCCATCTCTCCAGCCCCAAAGCCACACCTTTTAATCCTTCCCAAACAGCCACCAACTGAGGACTAAGTATTAAAGCAGCTGAGACCTGGAGGGATATCTCTTTCAAACCACCGTTGCATGGAAACAGGAATACAAGGGGTCTGCTCATACTGCACCAGCAGCCAGGAATGCAGATGCTTTGCTCGCTTTCCTTCAGATTCAGTATGGGACCCCCTGCTCATGAGGTGCCACCGCATTTGGCATTTGTGGTGGCTTCCTTCCTCAGTTAAAACTTTCCAAAAAAAAAAAAAAAAACCCTCATAGAAACACCCAGGCTGTGTGCTCCAGTGATTCCAAATCTAGCTGAGTTGACAACAAAGATTAACTATCACCAGGGTCAGGGGCACAATGATTTGGGGAGAATGTGGGGTGGAGAAGATCATAGCTGTGCTAGGGTTCGCTGAGACTGCTGTTATGGTGTGAACTGTGGTGGTGATGGAAATGGTGGTGATTATGACAATGGTAGTCGTGGTGGCATGTACTGGTTTGGGGGTAGGTATTTGTGGTTATGGTGATATGGGTATCTCAGCAAAGAAATATTCTGATCCCAGCAAGCTGTCTATAGTGTGGTCAAGCTAAAGTATCACATTACAAAATAACCCTCATATCAAATAATTAATACTCTACCTAGACCAGTGGTTGTCAACCTTCCCGATGCTTCTACCCTTTAATACAATTCCGTATGTTGCAGTGACCCCCCCAACCAGAAAATTATTCTTGTTACTACTTCATAACTATAATTTTGCTACTGTTTATGACTCATAATGTAAGTATCTGATATCTCTGATAGCCTTAGGTAACCCCTGTGAGAGGGTTGAGCCACCCCCAGAGGGTCGAGCGAGACCCACAGGTTGAGAACTGCTGGTTTAGACTATCAGTTCCACTGTTGCTCTAGTCCATTGCTGAATCTCCAGGGCCTAGGAGCGAGTGTGCTCCATAGCAAGTGCTCCATAGTACGTGCTCCAAAGCAAGTGCTCCACAAATACACACTGAATGAACAAGAGAGCACGAATCCCCCTGTGCTGAACACTGACCGCATTGCTCGATTTGATCCTGGCTATCTTTCTTATAGATGAGAGAGCAAAGGCCAGGAGAGACGGTGTAGCCCTCTTAATAATGCAGGGGGAAGCGACAGGGCAGGGAGCAGGCATTCTCACTCAGGCCTACCTGAGGCCCAAAGCCTCAAGCCTCCATTTGCACCCTTTGCAGCCACTCTTACTAACAATACATCTCAGGCCTGAGCTTCAGCTTAATCATAGAAATATTGCTAATAATAGTAACAATTGCTGTTTGTAATTGTTGGAGTAAGGCTTAAATGATCAAGACCATGGCAATTATTAATAACCCAGGCCCCGCCATGGTGGCGTGGGTCATATTAAATTGTGTTGAGATGGATAACCTTGGCAATAATAGTAACTGGGATCATAAATTAATAACGGGAGTATTTAAATTAATGCCACACTGTCAATAGGCTGGTAGTGAGCTGCTTCTGGAAGTACTAATGCCTCTCTCTCCTGCCTCCCATGAATTCAGTGGAGAGCAAGGCAGATCTGTAAAAGCCTTGGGGGAGGGGACATCTTAGAAGTAATCTCTATCCAAGAGGAAGGGGTGGGTCCTTAGGGACTTCTGAGGTCCTGCTTGCTGCCTAGACTCTTACATCCAGCCATGGTGGTTCATGACCGTGAATGCTCAAAGCCACAATGATGTCTACCCATCTTTTCTGGGACTGTCTATTGGACTTTATTCGTTACAAGACTAGCTTTATTTTGTTTTCTTCTGCAGTGAATGGACGAAGTTAAATGACTTAGGAAATCTTCATAAATGCTCTTGGTCTGTCCCTTGTTTCTATTATTTGGGCCCACATTTTCGAAGAGGAAACTGGAGTCCAGATATATCTAACATCTGGTGCAGACTTGTCCCCTCCACAGCTCTGAACCAGGGCCTTCTTTGGATGTCTGGGAACCAGAAAAGGGCGCAGTGATGTTTCTCTGGGAAGACTAACTGCACATTCCCTGGTGTACTGGTGATCTGATGTGCCAGGTTTCCAGAATATGACAGGTTCAGTCCTCAAATCGCCTACACAGGACAAGGATGACATGAATCTCTGAGTGTTGAGTCCAATCAACCACTTTCCCACCGAATCCCCTCTGCAGAGTGGTACTGAACACCTACTATAGCAGGCATTCGGAGAAGACACTGCTGTCCCTGCCTCAGGAAGTTCAGAAGCTCAGGTATCGTGTTTGTGTGTAGTCTGTACACTCATGAATGTGTGCTCTTTTGTGCTCAGTAGCAATGAGGGCTTGTTTGAGTGTGATTGTGCATGGCATACATGCGACTGTGCAGGTGTGTGTGTGTAAATGTGTGTGTAGATGTGTGTCTGATCTGCATTAGGGACTCTTGTAGGATGGGTGGGTTATATGAATGCCTGAGGATGGTATGTCATATATGAGTGCATGAGCACAAGTACAGGGGAGCTTGAGAGTGCGTTTGTGTATTCCTGGAGTTTGTGTGCACACCTGTGACTCCTCCAAGCTCATGGTTTTGAAAGGATAGAGATATAATTCAGTGATAGGATGTCTGCATGGCATGTGTGAGGGCCCAGGTTCAATCGTGTGTGTGTGTGTGTGTGTGTGTGTGAGAGAGAGAGAGAGAGAGAGAGAGAGAGAGAGAGAGAGAGAGAGAGAGAGAGAAAGAGAGAGATAGGGAGGGAGGGGGGAGAGAGAGAGACAGTCAGAGACAGACATACACACATACAGAGAGAGAGAGAGAGATGATTAAAACATTGGGATGGATTCCATCTTTCCATCTTGAATGTCCCAAGGAACACCTCACTCCAGAAGTAGGAAGCAGTAGATAGGGATAGGTGTAGACCTAATCATAAAAGGAGGGCAGCGGCATTCCCGGAATGAGGGGTAGGTAGGGAACTAGGAACTGAGAGGCTGAGGAAAATGCCCCTCTACCCCCAACCACCCCGCTTGGATCCACAGCATCCGACACTGAAGCTCAGCATAACCGGCAGTGCACTGGGACAGACAGCCTGCAGAGAAGACGCAGCGGGGCACACGGGCGCGGTTCCCCGCACGCCTTCCTTGGCTGCTCCGGGCTACCCATCTCGAAGCGGCCTGGCAGCCGGGCGGGCGCGGTTCCGGAGGGGTGGGGGGGTAGTTGGGCGGGCTGGGCGGGGAGGAGGCGGGGCTGCTGCACTGCTTTTACCCAGCTGCTCCCGCCCGCCCACAACCAGAGCGAGTGTAGCCTCCGCCAGCTCCGGCGGGCAGCGGGCGCTGGAGCTCAGCGCGGCTCAGCGCAGCCCATCGCAGCCCATCGGCCCCGCAGAGTGGACTGAGCTAGAAGCGGAGCGCTGTTGCCAGAGGGGAGCGATGAGGGCAGGTGCTGCCTGCTGCGCCATGGACCGATCGCTCCTGCTGTTGCTGCTGCTTCTAGGGGTAAGTGCTGGCTTGTTAACCTTTTCCAGGAACAGAACCCCAAGGGGATGCCAGTGTCACCACCCAGAAAACAGAATAGGACATCAAGGTCCCAGATGCTGGGGACCGGTGGCGGAGGAGCTGCGACGCCGTGACCCACAAGGGCTCTTTTTTTCTTTTTTGGGACTTTCAGAGAGCAGAGGCGTCCCAGTCCCAGGATAGAGATGCGGACAGGACTGTGGCATCGATGCTGGTCCTTGGTGCTACTGCTGCTGCTGGTCTTTGGGTACAGCGGTGGGGACGGTGTAGGGGACTGGGAGGGGTCTCTCGGGAAGAGGTTTAGGAATCTCGGGCGCCTGGGTTCTTTTGACTACGGCATGTGAATTCTGGGATCCCTAGAGGACTTTTCTCTTTAGCATCTTAGTCCTTGGGGAGTTGCAGGACAGAACCGAGGAGAGAAAGGAGGAGAATGAGAGAGGCTCTAGAGATGTGAGGGGCTAGGGAAGGAACAATGGGGGAGGCGGCTGGAGGGACTGGAGGCAGAGGGGACCCGGCATGGACAATGGGGACCGGTCAGACAATGGGGGGGAGGGGCGTCGAAAGGAGCGATTCGGGAGTGGCAGAGAGGTTGAAGAGCTAGAAGTGGGCTTAAAGGAGGGCAGAAAAGAGACTGCCACAAAAGAGGTAGAGAGATGGAAAGCGGTGCGCATCCTAAAGTGCTCGGAGCCCCGCCTGCCTACTCAAGGACAGTGGGATGAGGACAGCCGAGACACAGACGTTTCCCGCGTGGGTTCTAGCGCTCTTTCTCGCGGCCTCGCCCAGTCCGGGAATTGCATCTGGGTATCCCAGGCTGGAAAGGGAGCGCCCACTTCACTGGGGCAAAACAGCTCCCAGAGTGGATCCCTGGCAAGTCTGTTCATACGGTTTGGAACAACACAGTGGACCCGGAGACAGAGCCTGCAACCCCCTACCCTATCTGACTCCGCCAGGGTCTCGGGATGAGGAGCGCTGGGATGCTCAAGCCGGTGACTGTCCGGCAGAGCACAGCTCGGGGAATGCACAAACCCCAGGCGACCCGCAGGGGGCACTGCGGGGTGCGAGATTGCTGTTCGCAGCTGCGTGCGCGCCTGGGGCTGCGCACTGCGCCCCTTCTAAAGTTAAGCAGCCCCCGGGCGTTGTGCCCTTAGTGCTCCTTCCTATCCAGAACTTAATAGGGTCATCATCACTCACACATCTGGCTGGGCTTTCGATAAAAGTCAATGAACCCTCTCAAATGCATCAGGGGTCGCTTGGATGCCTCGGATGCTGTCTGATTGTTCAGAGGCACCAACTCCATCTTGGTCGTCTGGTCTTGCTAAGGACATGAGGACTCTGGGTCCTTCTGATCAGATCTTAAGAAAGGCTGGCAATGAAAGTGGCGTCACCCTCCACCTTTTTCTTCATCTGAGCACTGTGCCCCCAAATCTCTGTCTTACTGACAAGGGAGGCAGAGACCTTTACGTTTGAACAAGTTGGCCAAGCAAGTTGGGCCAGAGTTCTGTGGCTGGATGGCTCCTCACCTCATTCCAGCTCTGTGCTCTCTCTACTCAAGGGCGCAGCTGTGGGAGATCAGCATCGCTTCACAACAGGGATGGGGGTGACACCATCCCAAGGGATGGGCAGAGGTGGGCTATAGAATCGAGAGGGTGTAGGACTTCTTCAAGCTCTGATCCCATCCTCAAGCTCAAACCTGAGTCCCTGGAGCTCTCAGTATCTGTGGCTTCCTCCGGGCATTTGGGAGTGGCTGCAAGGGTGTTTGCTGATTAACATCCCTGGTTAGAGACACCTTGGGCACAGTGTGGTTACGATCCTGGAGAGGAAAGGGCATGACCTCTGGACCTGGGCAGGAGGATATCCCTGAGTTCAGAAAAGGCGAATAAGGGAGGAGAGCCGGGCCTTGAGACCTTAGCAAGGTGGACGGGGCACAGAACCTTCGGGCCTGAGCCCCTAGGACTCTACTTTCCACCTCCGCCCCAGATTGTTCAGTATGAGCCAGTTCAGCGGTCCCAGCCTCTTCCTGCGCGGCTGACAAGAGTCCTGAAACCAGAGCGCATCCCGGCGATTCTGCTGGCGTGCCGAGCCGGTAATGGAGGCACTTTGTCATTCAGACGTCTGTAACCGGAGCCTCCGGGCTGGCTAATGCTCCTAATAGTGAGGCAGCAGCGTAGGCAGTAAATGGGCAGCGTGAGCATCGGGCTGGCGTGGAGGGTGGATGGGGAGGCGGCTCCCAAAGGGAAAAGTTCCACCCTACCTGGCCAGCCCAGTCTGATTCTAACACCTGGCTTCCTCCCTGGGGGATGAATTGGAAGAGAGGACATAATAACTTTTGTGACTCTGTAACCTGTACTGTCCTAGGTACTTTTATGTTCTATACATATTCCTTAGGTCCCAGGTAAATTTAGTTATTCCCATTTTACAGGTGAGGAAGCTGACCCCCAGGAAACTTAGGCGGGACACCAGGCTCCCCTAGTCAGAAAGCAGAGGTGGCCTATAGGAAGCTGGGGGGTCAAGGCTTTGGTCTTTGCTCCTCATGCGCAGTTCCTTTTTAGCTTCCCTTCCACTGACAGATCATGAAAGGGGGTGTGGTCCTGAACTGCCACTGGCTGGGTGGGTTAGACCCTGCCCTGTGCCTCTGAACTGAGCTGCTCCCCTGCTCCGTGTGGGCATAGCCCTAGCCTCTCTTCAAGTCTCCACAGGCAGCTTCTTAAGGGATCAACACCAATCTCCTCATGACTCAGTGGCTGACCAAAGGGGAGAGGAGTGGAGCCAATGCCTACCCCTGTGCTGGAATCTAAGGCTCTCCAGCTATGGGAAAACCTCTCCTACTCCATATGGCTGTGACCAGGCTTCTGTTCTCTGAGGAGCCTTCTCTGAAGCATTTGGGAATGGTCAGGATGGAGCCCATGGAAATATCCACATACTTGCAAACACTGGTTTTCTGTTTTGTCCAATTAAAAAAAAAAAAAAGTCAATTCATCTGAGCACCAAAAGCCCTGCAATGACAAAAATAGATAGCAAACATTCTGAAAAATGAAGAAGTCATGCTATCAACTTTGAAATAAATAAATGTAATAGATATAACTATCAGGCAAATGAGTCTGTCATTTTGATAAATTGGTCAATTTGGATCGGATTTTGGAGCAATTAGCCTGAACTCCAGTCACACTTTCCGGCTTAGCGTATGGTTCCTTTTTCTGTCTTGTCTTCCCTAGGGTCAGCATCTCATATTCCCTAAGACACACAACTTCCTCAATAACTACCATTGATTGAGCTCCTATTATATGCCAGACAGATCTGCATACATTATTTCATTCACTTCTCATAGCAACTCAGTGCAGGAGTTGTACTAGGCCCAGAGTTTTAGATAGGAAAACTGAGATCTAGGAAGAATAAGATGCTTTAAAATCACAGACTATTTTGTAGCAAATCTAGGATTTTATGACAGAGGCAACATTAACCAAGTGCGGACACTGACTGTGGCCTCAGCTTTAAATACTAGTCCCGAAAGGCGTGGGGAGGAATGGGGAGAGCAGGTTCTTGGCAGGGATGCTTGCCCAAAGCTACTATGGCTCTCACAAGCACCATTAGCCCCACCCACAACATATACCCTCCAACTCTCTGCTGACTTTGGTTTAGTGGAGCAGTGGTACACAACCCAGGTCCACAAAGGGTACACACACTAGAAAGAAGAAGAAATGTTTGGTTGTTTGGTTTGTTTTTTGGGGACAGGGTTTCTCTGTGTAATAGCCCTGGCTGTCCTGGAACTCACAGAGATCCACCTGACTCTGCCTCTGGAGTGCTGGGATTAAAGGCAGGTACCAGCACTCTTGGCTAAAAGGGAAATCAGAAGAACTGTGGCTCCATACTTGACCACTGCTTTTAATACAGCAGTTTGAGGCAGGTGCTGTTATGATTACTTACTGGTAGGAAACACAAGCACAGAGAAATTACAAACCTGTCTGCCATTCTGGCCCTAAGTGACGAGGGACTTGGATCAATGGGCGAAGTGGCATGGGTAGTGATTACGCCCAAATGTTTGGCTCCGGGTACGGTTCCTCCATGTCAACTCCTCCTTCCCCTCCCCCCTTCTATTGCTACACACACCCACCCACCCACACCCACCCCCACCCCCACCCACCCACCCCCACCCACCCACCCCCACCCCCACACACACCAACATCTTCATTTCTCTCTGTGTAGTCCTGGCTGGCCTTGAACTGAAGATCCTCCTTTCTTGCCACCCCCCCCCCCTTATGCGGGTATCACAGGCATGTGTGCACCTGGCTCCCAGACAGCGTTTTACCAAGTCCAGTGACATCATTTTAAAAACTCCATTAGAACCGACACAATATGATTCTGGGAGAGACTCTTCCGGTCACACTGATAGGAGCAAGAAGTGACAGCTGATCCCTTGACAGGAAGAGAAGGGACAGGAAAATGATCAAAAAGCTGACAAAATGACAAGAAATGTGGTCATCTGGGATCAGGAGCACAAGAGCACTGACTGCTGCATTGCAGCCCTGGGTAACCGCTGTGCTAACAGCCAGCGCCCAGTGATGGAGAAACTGCAGAGGCAGACGAGGGTGCAGCCCCCAGGTCACAGAGAGAGAGGCACTGGATGACAACAGCACTTCCCCCCCTGAGGACACATAGCCATCCAAGGTCAGTCTTCCAGACATCTAGGTAGCTGGAGGCATATGGTAACTTTCTGTTCTTAAATCACACAGTTATGTGCCAGGTAGGGCAGGAGATAGCCAGTCAACCCCATGTCCATAGCTCTGTCTGACTAATATGGGAGGGGTGAGGATGACAGGAGCACTTCCTCGAGGAAGTGATTTTTAAGTAGAGCCCTAAGTGATGAAAGGAAACAGGAACAGACCCTTCTGGAATCTCAGCTCCTGAGAAAAGCCGGCCTCAGGGCAGGCTCCTGGTCTGCAGATGTTGCCAGCCAGCATTCCTACTGCTGGCACCTGGGAGGAGATGGTGGCAGCTGCTCTGCTGCCTTCATTGTCCCTGATGGGCTCATGGAGACCACATTGCCCCAGGGCATTACCCAGTGCCCCCCACTTCTATATTTCCTTTCCCATCACACTCTGGTGAGACCACAGTGGGTTTTGTGTTTTGTTTTTGATTTTTTTTTTTTTTTTTTGGTATCTTGGCAAAGATCTGTCCAGCATGGAAGTTGTAGAGGAATGCCCAAGCAATCTTGTAAAGCTCCCTGGCCTCATGACGAGAGCCCAAATTGCTCAGCATCAAATGGGGTGTGTGTGCAAGGTCTGGAGCCTGCAGAGAAGGCTTGGGAGTTTTATTGGACGTCAAGATGGTTCTTTAAGAAACAGAAACGAAGTGAGCCTCTTGCAGCCCCTCCCTCTGGGGAATCTGGTGCTAAGTCATTCCATCCATGAGCAAAGATGCTGTAGTGGTAGGAATTTGATTCCCCTTTCCCCCCATTCCAGTTCTGTTCCCAGGGGCCACATGGGAGGGGAGGGAGTCAGGCTAGTGACTGGAAGTCAATTCTGGTGGAGCAGCTACTGATAATAGGCATCCCTTTCTCCCTGTCTTGGCGCCAGTCTTGGCCATCAGCCTGTCCTTTGCCCTGGCACCAAGCTGTCACTGTCTTTATCTGCAGAGAGGTGAAAAGTCCAAAAGGAAAAGCAGGACAGGCCAGAAACATGTCTGGAGTCAAGATCTGAACCTCTTGCCTTCTGCTCTTGGACATAGACAACTCCCTTCTGGTATTTAATATGTAGAATGAGACCTGGAGAAGGGCCCTGGTCCCTTTTGTTAGGAAAAGACCCTGCCTCTGGGTAACCGAAGCCCTGCAGGTGTGAGGCTTAGCAAATGGAGTTTGGGCCAGATTTCAGCTCCACTGGCCCCTTTGGCCAGGAGCCCTGTGCAAGCTGCAACCTGTCCGCCTATTCTGGATGTCTGTCTCAGGTTGCTCTCCTCATGTGGTATATCCTCAGGGCTCCGGGAGCGGCTGTAACTCCAAGGTGAACTTTGCAGAAGGTTAGCCACTGAGGCTGTGACCTCACACCCCAGCAGCAGTCAAGGGCATACTGTCCCCATCCCCTGTCCCCCCTCTCCCCAGCTTTCCTTCCTGCCAGCTTTGATCCTCCTAATGCCTCCCGGGTGAGCTCATCCCAGCCCAGGTGGTTCCAATAGAAGGTATTAAGAGGGAGGTGTTTGATTCCCTGGAAGATATCCCCCCCTTCCCCTGCCAGGCTGACCCTCTGATCTTCTTCCACCTAGGTGTCAAGGTGCCAAGGGGTCAAAGAGACATGTTCCACAGGCTTGTACACCCATAGCGGAGAATGCTGCAAGGCCTGCAACTTGGGTGAAGGTGTAGCCCAGCCTTGTGGAGCCAACCAGACCGTGTGTGAACCCTGCCTGGACAGTGAGTATAGGATGGCAAATGGGGGGGGGGGGAGGTGTATCGTGCACAGAACAGACCTTGTAAGTGTTCTGTCTCCTGGCAGGTCCCCTGCCAACCTCTGTATGGTCACCAGGAGTGAGCAGGGTATGATAGACAGGCAGAGAGTAAACGGGGGCGTGTGCAGGCAGAGGAGGAACCTGATGGGGGATACCCAGAGCCCCCAAGCAGAGAGGCTGGTAGAAGCGTGTGGCCAGGCCAAGAGAAGAAGCTGATGCTCAGGCCAGCTAAAAACACGTTCTGCACTGCAGGATCAATGGCTGCAGCCTACTCTCTGTGGGTTTGGGGGGGGGGAGGGGAAAGAGGATCAAATCCTGGCTGCCCTGGAAACTGACCTTGGGGGATCCTGGGAGGGTGTGGCTGCCATCCTCCTCCGGGCCACTGTTTTGTAGCTTTCTGATGCCAAGAGGAACAGGGGCTGCTATGGGGTGGTACCAGGTAGGAATAGCAGAGGGTAGCTACCTGGCATTAACTTCCAAAGGAAAAGAATCCCATCTTCCAGGAACAGTGGAGAAGGGGGACAGAAGGGTGGTGACAGCTCTGTTCTCATCCTGTGTGAATTCTGTGGGGCCAGGAGTCTTGGTCTATGCTGATAGATACCTCATTGTTCTGCTGATTTGAACCCCAAGGCAGAACTGCTTTCCTGTCAGCTGCCAGTAGCATCCTGTATCTGCCTGGCTCAATCCCCACTAGGTGGGCTGCTAATAACAAAATACAGAGCCAGGGACTTAGAAACTACCTGCCAGCCTAGTCTTACCTCTGTGTGCTCCTTCCTGAGTCTGTGCCACCTTCAGGCAATCCTAACTCCTTAGTGTTCTCAAACACATGTATTTCTTTTACTATGCTTTGACTGCTGTGCCCCTGTCCCCAGGGTACACCTGGGCTGGATGGAAAGGCTCTGCCCTCTTGGAAGGTGGTGCCTAATCTTCCTTGGCTTCACAGAGTCTCTATCCCCAAGGCAGAGTCAACATCATTGCCTGGTATAGATGCCCTAGGCCACTCCCTGTCTCCCTCCTACGCATCCTTCTTTAGCAGCTGGTGGATTTGGGGCTCAGGGGCGGGCCATGTCAGGAATTAGGGAAGAGGAAGGGCAATAGGAACAAGGGCTGTGCAGAGGGGCGGCAGAAGCCTCCCTGCCTCATTCCCTTCCTCTTACCTCCCCCTTGGGTTCCTCCTGATACACTCCCCTCCAGCTGTGTTAACAGGCTGCTTTTACAAGCCTATTTTATGGGCTGGAGACCCCAGCAGACTTTCCCTCCACCCCCCCCCCAAAAAAAAAACGTTTCCACTAGGAAGCCTATTAAGCCTCTGCTTTCATGCTCTGCCAAAAAAAGGTCACAGTTTTCACGCCGTCCAAAACTTACTCCCAGGAGTCTTCTGGCTAATTTCTGAGTTTTCTCTAAGAGCTGCCTTGCTCTTCATCCAGTGTAGCTTTCCCCACCCCACCCATATAAGCACCCTCTCATTTGGAGAGATCAGATGTCCTGCCAGACAGGTGCTTCTGCTGTTTGACTGTATCTCAGTCACCAAAGACCTCTGTCTTTATTACTGCTCATCCATGGGGCCTACCACTTATGCTTCATCAGAACCCTATGGGGTGGGGACATTACTTATTTAGTTAGTTTTGAGACAGGCTCTCACTGTGTAGCCCAGGCTAGCCTCAAAAGCCACCATGTAGAGAAGACCAGCCTCGAATTCACGACCCTCCTGGGCACCAAGATCTCTGGCTATTATTTTCTATTTCACAGAAAAAGGAAAATGGAAAATGCTCTGAAAGGTTAAGTCACAGAGCTAATATGTTATAGAAGTGAGTTTTGCCTCACCCCTAGGAAAAGAAAACAGGGTCCTCTGTAGGAACTGACTAGAAATGGAAGTGTTGCCCAGGCTTCCCCCCCCCCCTTTTGTTTTGCTCTCTCCTCTTTTCCTCTCTCCATTTCTGCCTGGTTCATTTTCCTCCATCCTTTGCCTCATCACCACATCCACGCTTCCTACGGCCCTTGATGCCTTTAGATGGTGTCAGCATGGGTCCCCACAGCAGGTCTCCACCCCTGTACTCTCTGCCTTTACCTCCATGTCCCAAGCACCCCCTCCTTCCCTGGCTCTCAGCTTCAACACCCTGAGCAAAGACAGCTCCTCCTGTACTCACGATGGCACAGAGTTCTCTCCCAGGGATGGAAGGTACTAAGAGCTGGCTCTGCCCCTTCCCTGATCTCTTCTCAGGAGTCAAGGACACCCCCCCACCACCACCACACACCTACACTCACAGCCCACTCAGTTTCCAGAGTTCACACCCCCTACTTGAGAGTGAGGCCAAAGTGAGCTTGGAAACTACCCCTTTGTACCCAGGGCCCAGGGCTGAACATGCAAGCCCCCTCCCCACCTTGCATCCTAGCTTCTATCTTTCTTGCGGTTCTTGAACTGCTTGCTTGGAGCACTGGCCCTGGTGTAGGCAGTATGGTAAGGTGCCTTTGGTCAGAAATTCTGCTGTCACCCCTAGTCACTTCAATTTTGACCCTGCCACCCACTCCGACCCCATGGGAAGAGGGCCAGCCAGACAGAGGCAGAGGCTCTTAGGCACAGAGCTGCCGCCCTCTGGCCAGTGTGGGAGGCTTGATGCGGAGCCATGTTCATATTATTGTTTAATCACACTGGGAACTCAGGTACAGGCCTGGGAACTCTCTAAGGTTTGCCAAGGAATGTACCTGAACAGCCAGGACCTCGGGAGGCCCTTGCCTCCTTCCCGTGGGTGAGGGACCGAAGAAAAGGGGGCAGAGGTCAATAAGAAAGTGAAGCTGAGATAGGTATTAGCTGGGGATGCAGGGACCCCAGCCCTGGATTCAAGTATACCAAACACCTCCCCAGGGACTAAGTTCTGAGGCTGATGCTTCTCCATCTGTGCCTTTGTCCTCAGGTGTGACATTCTCTGATGTGGTGAGCGCCACTGAACCCTGCAAGCCGTGCACTGAGTGCCTGGGCCTGCAGAGCATGTCGGCTCCCTGTGTCGAGGCAGATGACGCAGTGTGCCGATGTGCCTATGGCTACTACCAGGATGAGGAGACTGGCCGCTGCGAGGCATGCAGCGTGTGCGAGGTGGGCTCAGGACTCGTGTTCTCCTGCCAGGATAAGCAGAACACCGTGTGTGAAGAGTGCCCAGAGGGCACATACTCAGACGAAGCCAACCATGTGGACCCGTGCCTGCCCTGCACGGTGTGCGAGGACACTGAGCGCCTGTTACGGGAGTGCTCGCCCTGGGCTGACGCGGAGTGCGAAGGTGAGCGAGGGTGAGCGGGTTGGTGTGGGGCCACAGAGCTGGATTTGTGAGGAAGGGCGCCCTCTAGGGTTCGTAAGGTCCCCGCCGGGTTTTCACCCGGCAAGCACCCTCGTTCAGCCTTAGTTTGTACTTGATGCAGAGATGGTGATTCGACCCTTCTCACTAATTCCTTCTTTGGACTGACGTTGGGGAAAGTCCAGCTTACTGTTCTCTGGAAGAAGTCTTCCTAACTCCTCCCCAGAGACGATATGGGCAGCATACAGCACCTGGAAGAAGCTATAGATACCAGGGTCTGAAGCAGGCCTCCTTCCCGCCTGAGGGAAGTTTTCTGAACTGGAGTACGGCTGGGGACCTTCAGGAGTGAGGACCCTTCAGCTATGAGGCCACATGCAGGTGACGATGACAGCTGTAGCAACTCCAACCAAATCAGCTCCCAGTGCCATTGTGTGTGTGTGTGGGGGGGGGGGTTACTCTTGGCTCTGGACCTGTTTTTGATGGCCATAGGGTTTTGTCACATTCCTCTCATGGTGTCTGGGGATGAGGCAAAAGCTCTGTGGCAGTTCAATGACATAGAGTTGGCTGCTGTAAATGGCCAGACAACGACCCAAGTAGTTCTGTGCAGCAAAGGAGGAGTGGGAATATGGGCTGGGGGAGAGGTAGGATATGGCAGGGGAAGGGCGTGCTTGGAGGGCTCCTGTCTACTGGGGCTGTAGGAGCTGAGTGGGCCTGCCTTATCACATAGCTCACCTGAAGGAGATATGGGGATCTTGGGAGAGGAGGAGGAACCTGGGCAGGGCACGGCCACCATGATCGCTGGTTGGTAGTGTTCATCTCAGAGGGGACGAGACAAGTGGGTGGTGCTTTTCCATTCTGTCTATCAGCCGGTGACTATGCCCTGGTTTTCTTTGAACTCTAACCCCAGGTTGTGCTCACACTGAGCAGGGAAGTGTGCCATCTTCAGGGAGTCCCTAATTTTCCTGGAGAGGGGTGGCCCTTGGCACTGGTCCAATGCGGGGAGTACCACAACCCAGGCCGTAGTTCCTGGAGGGAGAAGACAGCCCCAACTTTGGAGATTGCTGACTCTAGTGGAGGCAGCCCAGTTTCTGCCTTCCATCAGCTTCTAGAAGAGTAGAAGATACAGGTTCCCTGTCCTGGGGGAGGGGGGCTTCTAACAATGAGCCAGAGCCCCCCCACCCATAACCAGACTTAAGTTTGCTCAAGTAGCAGAGTGCAGAATGCTGGTAAGCCTCATTGAATATGTTTGCAGTGTTCTTTGCTGAATAGGCAGAGAGGGATGAGGCATAGGCCCTGGGTGGCTCTGGTGGAGATTTCCATGGGCCAAGACTGGCAAATGGCTTCAGAAGCTAGACTGAGCCAGGAGAGAACTTCAACAGCCAGGCAGCAGGCAGTGAGCAACACAGTTCTGTGGGCAGGTCTGAATCAGCCAGTGGGGTACAGGGTCAGGGATGCGATCAGAGAAGGGGGGAGCCTGGTTGGAAGAGGAGCAGGCCCGCTGTTTAGGGAACTATTTCCTTCCAGATGCCACCCTACTTTCCCAGCCTTCTTGGCAGAAGGCATCCAAGGAATGCTTATCTCTGTATTATCCTTCTTTCTGCTCCAGCCTCTGAAGGGTTAAATGTTGGCCCTGTGGCCAAGCATCCCTTTCAGGAAATGGAATTTGATTCTTGGGTTGGCAGCCCCACTCTTGTCCAATGTAGCATGCTTTCCTGCATATACATTTCAGGTGTCAACACGGTGACTCACCCAGCCTTGGGGCAGACGCCCAGCCCCCTTACCACATTGAAGTTTAGGAGGGGTCACCTGCTCCCTCTTTCTCCTGATAGCTCCCATTCCGGAAATGGCTGTCAGGACCTGCCAAGAGCTTAGCAAGTAGGAATGCTAGGGGACAGGGCCACATCTGGATCTGGTCTCCACCCCTATCAGAGAGGCTGGAGGGGGTGAGGGAAGGTGTCCTGGACACTTGACACTGCTTTTGGGCCTTCTCTGAAGCTCCTTCATTTCTATATCCGTGACCCACCCACATCAGCCTCAGGGTCGGGGCTGTCAATCTGGACTGAATCATATCTGCAGCCTTGGGGCTCAGGCTGTACCCTCAACCTGCCCCATTACCCTAACAAATCACAAGAAGGCCCTCTAGGACCCAACACTCAGACAGGACTGCCTCTGTCACTTCCCAGCCCTCTCCTTCCAGCCCTGGTCAGTCCTGGGGTGGGGGAAGGGTGGGACTGGGCGGCAGATGGCAGCCTTCTCCCTACTGCCAGCCAGATGGATTCCAGACTCACATCTGGGGGCCTTACCCCTCAGAAGGTGCTGAAAGTGGGGCCTTTGAAGAATCTCTGTCTTGAGCCGAGGAGGCCCAGAGGACCAGTGGGCAGCTTCAACTCCAGCTTGGGTGGGCACAATGTAGTCTGGGCGGGCCAGAGCTCGGTAGCAAGATGTCCTCCCCTTAACCCCACTAGCATGCCCTGTCTGCTTTCCCTCCCTGCCCCAAGCGTAGGAAGTGAGAATGGATGGGACAGGCTGCTCTGCCCAGACAAGTATCCCCCAGGCCATCATCCAGAGCCCACAACCCCTAGCACCGCCTCTGGCTGGGTGGCAGAATGGAAAATCCCACCCGCTAGTGCCAGGAGGGGCCAGGGCCTCTGCCAGGAAGGCTGGCAATGCCCAAACGACATGAGCAGGCCTGGATGGGTGGCCAAGCACAGAATCGCTCCTTCTGAGACAGCAGGCAGTGCCTGCTTTGTAGCTCCTCCCTCCACCCGCTGTCTGTTTCCTGGCAACAAGGGTGCCAGCTGTCTGACCCAGTCTTCTCTAGGTGCCAGGGCCAGACTGTTTGGGGGTTAGACAACAACAACAACAACAAAAACAAAAACCAGACAATCAAAGAGCCATGCTGGCCACTGTACAAGGACCGGCTGGGATGAAGCAAGCCAGTCATACTGTCCGCCTCTAGTGCCAGCCTAGAGTAGAACACCTGAGCTAGGAAAGAGGGCTGAGTGCCACCTGCAGGGCAGCGTCTCTGATCGGGTACCTGAGTGTCACATCCTTCCAGAGGGCCATGGTCACCAGAGAAATGGCATCCCTCCAAGCAGCTGAGACATTGCTCCAGCTTGAAGCATCTCTACAGCTCGGGTTTCTTGGTGTGTCTACCTGATGCCTAGCTGCTGGGCAGGGACTAGAATTCTGATTTCATAGCCCAAGCCAAAAAGTTTCTTGGAGACCCCCTTTTTTTCCCTTTTCAGAGAGCCCATTCTCTGGATGGGGAAATCAAGGTTCCATACTGACTTAAGTATCCTGTCATATAGCCCTTGCTCTCCTCCATTAACTTGATTCATGTGCACAGTACTAGCCCCGAATCCCATGCATGGCCCTGTGTCTGGAACCTGGGGTTGGAAGCTCATGATGAAGCATTGGAGTGTCAGAGTTAAGGGGAAGGCCTGGGTAGGTCCTAACTCCCGTGGTCCTGTTCCCCAGAGATCCCTGACCGATGGATCACAAGGTCTACACCCCCAGAGGGATCTGACAGCACGGCCCCCAGCACCCAGGAGCCAGGGGCACCTCCAGATCAAGACCTCATAGCCAGCACAGTGGCAGATATGGTGACCACTGTGATGGGCAGCTCCCAGCCTGTAGTGACCCGAGGCACCACTGACAACCTCATTCCTGTCTATTGCTCCATCTTGGCTGCTGTGGTTGTGGGCCTTGTGGCCTATATTGCTTTCAAGAGGTAAGAGGGAACACAGTGAGGATGGAGGAGACATTTGCTCCCACCATGGCCTGAAAACAAATACGCTCTTTTAATTCAATCCTAAACCCATCCCCACTGACTATCTCATGCCAGACTCTTGGGTGTGGCAGGTTGGGGGGAGTGACAGAAGAGGGTTCCCTTTCCTGTCCTGGCTCTGTCCCTGCCCACTCCCAGGTGGCTTTTCATCCTTAACCCCTGCTAGCTTGGGCTCCTTGCATCCTTGCCCCCAACCCCACTCAGCCACAGTGTCCTGGTATACATGTGTCTCTCCCCTTCCCAAGTCACCCTTGCTTTGATGTCACCCTTGGGCTCCTGGGGTACCCACATCAAGGAATTCAAGAGAAAAACTCCCAGGAGGCATTTTCAACTTTAAATGTGTGTCCCATTTTTTTGTTTGTTTGTTTGTTTTTTGTAATGCGTGCTTTTTAAAAAGCAAATACAAACAAGATCAAATTTGTTTTGTGGTGCAGGGGATGGAACACAAATCTTTGAGCATGCCAAGCAAGGTTACTACCACAGAGCATTAGCCCCTGACTCATGACCAATGTCTTCTAAAACAAAAGCAAAAGGCTTGTTTTATCTCCTCAAATCCTACCCATCTTGTGGTAAATCTCTTTGGGATAACACTTTCCCAGCTGTTTATAGTGTATTCTTTACATAAACACTCACATGAATTTTTTATAATTATATGTAGACAGGGAGAGCTTTTCTAATGACTCAGAGGGAACTTACTGTTCACTTCTGCAGTGCACTCCTCTCTTATTCCCCCTCAGGAGACTTTCCCTCAGAACACAGACTATCTGATCATGTACAGCCTCTCCTTCAACAACATGCCCCGACCGTAGTGCCGTGAGCCAGTCCTCTCTTGATGGACATTTGGTTTATTTTCAATTTTTTTGTTATTACTTATAATTGCCAAGGGTGTGTGTGTGTGTGTGTGTGTGTGTGTGTGTGTATGATCGCTGTTCACATATGGAATTATTTTAGAAGGGTCAATTGGGAAAAATGGAATTTCTAGGAAGTCTTTTATTTATGCATTGTTTGTTCTGTGAACATTGACTGAATGCTACCGAGTTCTTCCATACCCAAGGGTGTGTGTGTGTGTGTGTCTATGTGTATGTGTGTCTGTATGTTTGTGTGTGTGTGTGAGTGTGTCTGTGTGTGTGTGTGTGTGTGTGTGTGAATGTGTAGAAATGAGCACCTTACCACTTCTCAACCTTTTGACTAATTGCATGTAAAGCAGTGGTTCTCAGCCTGTGTGTCTCAACCCCTTGGGGTTGACTGACCCTTTCAATGGTGGCCACCTAAAACCACTATGTGTCTGCATAACAGAACTTTACCATTATGATTGGTAACAACTGCAAAATTACAGTTATGAAGTGGCAACAGGAATAGTTTTATGGATGGGGTCACCACAACATGAGGAAGTGTGTTAAAGGGCCTTGGAGAGGTTGAGAAGTACTGATATAAAGAAGTAAGTTCTTGGGCCACTTTGGAAGGCCCTTGCCGTGGCCCTGGCCTAGACCATGGCCACAGCTGTGTTGGCTGTACTGTCTGATACAGCCCTCACCCTAACCCTGTCCTATCCCTGGGTTCCAGGTGGAACAGCTGCAAGCAAAACAAACAAGGGGCCAACAGCCGACCAGTGAACCAGACGCCCCCACCCGAGGGAGAGAAACTCCACAGCGACAGCGGCATCTCTGTGGACAGCCAGAGCCTGCACGACCAGCAGACCCACACACAGACTGCCTCAGGCCAGGGTGAGTAGGAAGGCAAAAGACTAGGGATTTAGCTATGGTTAGACTACTGAAGGGACTAGCAGGGTAGGAGAGGCTGGGTGGGATGGGAGATGTGGGAAGGGGGATGTTTTCCCCTGGGATGACTTGGGGAAATGGAGGCTTTTACAAGTTGGAGCATCCAGACTCATCAGGCTAATTGTCCCCCCTGGGGGTTAATTACTGCCCAAAGTAGCTGCAATTAGCCTCCTGGCTGGACTTCTAGGAAACGAGTGGTTAAGTGTGTACCCTAATTAGCAGCCCATAGCTAGGCTCTGGGACACTTGCTGCAGTTGTCAGGAGCCCAAGAGCCCTGTCCCCTCCTCTGTCTCTATGATTGCTTGGGGGAGGGGATGCTAGTGCAGAGCCTGTGAGTCAGCAAGGCCCAGGTCCCTCCCAGGCCTGTCTAGGACCTCATCTTGGCCACTCCTCTGCCTCTAACTCTAGACTTGGAGGAGTGTGCCTTGGCCAAACCCTCTATGTGCACTGAAGGAAAAAAAGGTCCAGGATTAGGGGCTGATGTGCTCTTGTCCTCTGCAGCCCTCAAGGGTGATGGCAACCTCTACAGTAGCCTGCCACTGACCAAGCGCGAGGAGGTGGAGAAGCTGCTCAAAGGTTCCTCAGGGGACACCTGGCGACATCTGGCAGGCGAGCTGGGCTACCAGCCTGAGCATATAGACTCCTTCACCCATGAGACCTGCCCAGTCCGAGCCCTGATGGCCAGCTGGGGTGCCCAGGACAGCGCAACACTCGATGCCCTTTTAGCCGCCCTGCGCCGCATCCAGAGAGCTGATATTGTGGATAGCCTGTGCAGCGAGTCCACCGCCACGTCCCCAGTGTGAGCTCGCACGCCGGAAGCCCCTGTCCTGCCCCATATTCCAACAAGTGATGCTCTAGCCAGCCCCCACAGAGATGTCCCCTCTTCCCCGGGGTGGCCTGACAGTCAGAGCCGGGCTCCAAGGCCCTGCTCCCCAAACCATAGCCCTGTGGCTGTCCCTGAGGGAGCCCTTGCTTCTGATTACACTTTCTCTCCATTGAGAGATAGGACCACCCCAAGCCTTTCCTGCCCCGTTACCATCTCAGGCCTTTCCACCCTTTCCCACACCTTAGCTGTGTCAGATCTGGGGGGTTGACACCAGAGATGGTGACAGAGGCACCCCAGGGACTCAGGTGGCACTGAAGAACCAGGGCCAAGGACTCCACACTGTGAACTGGAGAACAGGGAGCATGGTGGTAGGCTAGACCTTCCCTAGCCTCTCTCTCCTCCACTCTGGCCAAAGATGAAGAGGATTATAGGCCCAGCTGAGCTGAAAGCAGGTCTGAAAGCCAGTCCACACTCCCCTCTTACACACAGGATAGAGAGGCCGGGACTGGTCCAGGCCACCCAGCAGTAGAGAGACCAAATGTAGGCTGACATCCTCCTCTCTGAATGAGGGCATCAGGTGTGCTTGATGGCAGGGATGGAGTGACTTTCAGGGGCATGTCTGGAAGCCAAGACTGCCCCACCCTCTACCACTTCCAGACCCCCTACCCAACCCTTCTGCAGACAAACTGCTTGTTTGTCCAAGACCTGGTCCATTGGCCCCATCCTGATGGAGTCAGGCTAGGGGTTTGGGGAGTAGGGTGTTGCCTTCCTCTATGTCTATCAGGGTTACCCACATGGCATTTGCAGAGTGGTGAGTCTGTTAATGTCCTCATTCTTGGCATAGGCCTGGAGCCATCATTAGCCCCTAGAATCAGCCCTAGGGGTCAGGGACCAAGGACTCCCATCCCACAATCCCAATACCACACACACACACACACACACACACACACACACACACACACACACACACGATAAGATTTCTTGCTTTTTCCATGGCTCTTCTTGGGCTGAGACTAGATCCTGCTGGGAGTCACTGCCAGAAAAGCATCCGAGGGAATTGAGCTTCACTTCGCAGGGGGCTGTCTTCCTTGCTCCTTGCTCCCGGGTTTGGCAGGCCAAGGACTGCTGTGTCTGAGCTGGCATCTATCTTCTCCTCCCCTTCTCAAAGCCTGAGTTTGGCTGCACCCAGAAGGCTACAGTGAAGAAAAACAGGCTGGTGGGTGCACACAGCAAGAAAAACAAAAACAAAAGCAGACAAACAAACAAGGCCAGATGCTGGCCTGTGGCCTGTGGCAGGTGTCTCCCAAGTTTCAAGGACTGATTTCCTGAGCACCGCCAGGAAGGGGCATGAGGTCTCAGTAGCGTTTCACCCCCTCCCTGGCCTGTTCTGTTTTGCTTGCTGTTGGAATGAGTGGGCTCCCCCTCTATTTAGCATGAAGGAGCCCCAGGCAGGGTATTCACACACTGAGTACCACCCCTGGGTGGCCAGGGTCCTCCAAACCCTGAAAAGAGACTAGGAGCACTGTACACGGGTGGTGTTTGTATGGACCTCAATCTGCAATGAGCAGAGGGGACTCTGCCTGCTGGCCCGCTCCAGGCACCTGGGAAGTGGGACATTCTTTGTGTATTTATTTTCCTCCCCAGAAGCTGGGGAAAAGTGGGGAGTTGCAAGCCCAGTTTAGCATGTGTTTGGTTCCGGGGTCTTTCCAGCCTTACTTTGGGTCAAAATGGAAACTTTGACCCTCCAGCTGGTGGCTTCCAGTTCCAGACCCCCTTCATGCTCCCTGTCACCTTCCCCTTGCATCCTGTGTAAGCATTTCTTGGGCCCTCCTGAAACCTACTCATAAAAATATAAGTGTTGGACATTAAATAGCCAAAAAAAAAAAAAAAAAAAAAAAAAACAATAAGAAAGAAAAATGATGCAAGACATTTTCTGGAAACACCATGTTTTGTTAGTTGGGGTTGAATGTGTACACCAGAGTTTCTCCCAGATGCCCTTATAATTTCCAGTGTTGGAAGCTCCTGCCCACTTTTCAGTAAGTTTTGACAAGAATTCAGCAACTTCATATGCAGTCACGAAGTGAATGGTGGAAAAGAGCAGGGCCCCTTTGCTCCCAGATCTCAGAGAGGGAAAGTTTAAAAAAAAAAAAAAACCCGCCCACCAGGCAGGAAGCTGGCCAGCTGTGATTTTGACCAGATGCCAGAAGTGAAACTGACCACAGGGGAGCAAGAGGCTTGCTAGGAGGACCAGGTCATGACCCCACAGCTCCCAGCCACCCACATGGCCTGTAAGACACACAAACATACTCATACACAAGATCACACGGAACCTCTGTCCAGATGGTCCAGTAGGAGACTGGCTGGCCTGGCCAGGAGTCAGGCAAGCCCCTCCCTGGAGATACTGTGGTCAGATCCTAAACAGAGCTCTTGCCTATCTGGCCTGGGAGCCTCTAGGACTGCGGCTCAGGCTGTGCCTCTTCTGAGGCTGGTGAGGCAAGCAGTCATAGTCAGAACTGCACATCCCTTACTGGTCCATCATCCAGGTACTCTAGTAGGAGTGGCTTGTGGTCACCTGCAAGGCAGGAGAGGATTTGCTCTTCTAGAAAGAACAGCAAGCAAGCCTTCCAGATTTCCAGGCCCAGCCAAGAGTCAGACATCAGGGAGTCAGGAGGGTGACATGGTGGTGGAGAGGAGAGACAGAAAGGAGATGGGAGAAATGACCTTGGCACTGGCAAAGCCTTAGATTAGTTGGGGAGACAGTCCCTGTTTGGTGGAGAAGAAGGGCTCAGACTGGGTGCCCATCTTCCTACTGTGGACCAAATATCCACAGTAGAAATGGATTCCTGCTCCCTTAAAAGGGCTCTCCGATCCGATGAAAGAAAAACCATCTTCACCCTAAAGGTGTCTCTGGTGGGACATTCAGTTTCTGGCTTGTGGGAATAAGAAGGGACACAAGTCCCCTCCTCAGTGACTGCTTTCTTCAGAGAGCTGTAGCAGGCAGCCCTGGCTGGTACAGAAAGTCTGGAGACCTCCTGCAGCCAGCCCCAGAGAGGTCAGGGAAGGGACATGGAAGCTGGCTTTTGGAGGTCTGTGAGGTAGCAGGCCTGCAAGGAGACAACAGAGCCCAGCCTGGAGCCCAGAAGAGGAAGGGAGGAAAACAAGGAGGGGGGAGGGGGAAGGGGGGGGACAGACAGAGGCTGGGGCCTGTGGAGTCTGTTGAAGGGGCCTGGACTGTGTTCTTAGAACCCTGGAAGCTGTGGAGGATTTCAAACCCTCCCCAGCACTGGGGCAAAAGGCTTGGTGCCCTCTCTGCCCTCTCCACCCCTCCTCCCTCCACTTCCAGAGTTAAAGCTCCATATCAGCTTCCTTGTGTTTACTGGGGTCCTGTGGGGCTGTGTGAGCGCCTCCCGCCGAGCCCCCCCAGACTCACAGCTTTGATCCAGAACTTGACCTTACTCTCTGTGTGCCTCCCAAACAGTCTCAGAATTCTGAAAACGTTATCATTTCTTTTAGCCATGGAGAGCCTCTGTGTGCTGTCCTATCTAGAATATTCTTTACCAAGTTACCTCAGCCCAGAGAATCTTTAGGGAAGACTGAGTGCTTCCCTGAGTCCAAATTTGTTTCTCATTTCTTTGTCTCTGTCTCTGTCTCTGTCTCTGTCTCTGTCTCTCTCTCTCTCTCTCTCTCTCTCTCTCTCTCTCGTGTGTGTGTGTGTGTGTGTGTGTTTATGTTGTTTGTTTAATCCGTTTTGTTTTTGACAGGGTTTCCTGTAACCCAAACTTGTCTGAACCTCCATATATAACCAAAACTAGCCTTCAACTCCTGATCCTCTTGCCTCCACACCCCAAGACTGGGATTACAGGAGTGTGTCACTACACCCAGCTCCAAATCAAGTTTCTTGATTCCAGCTTCACAAAACCCCACGGTGCCTCTTCTTTACACTGCTTAAGACCTCTTTGTAATTAGGCACCTGTCTGAGTGATTATTCTGTTACCACAAATCCCAGGAAACCAGAGACAGGCTCTGCTCATGCTCACCTCTCATGCTTAGCACCTTCCTAGTACATACGTTTCGATTACACTGAGTAAGCAATGAGTTCACCCCATCCAATACCCACAGAACACAAGTGTCACATGAGGACTTGTAAGCTTTTCCGTGGGCACCTTCCACAAAGAAAAGGTATATAATATTGTTTCAACATGTGATTAATATTTAAAATTGTTAATGAAATATTTCAAATATTTTTTAATCCACTAAGGTGTCTCAATCTCAATCCTACTTTGTTTTTGTTGTGTTTCTTTCTTTCTTTCTCTCTCTCTCTCTCTCTTTTTTTTTTTTTTTTTTTTTTTTTTTGGATATAAGGTTTCTTTGTGTAGCTTTGGAGCCTGTCCTGGAGCTAGCTCTTGAAGATCGACTGCCTCTGCCTCCCAAGTGCTGGGATTAAAGGCATGTGCTACTACCATCCAGCTCTCTCCCTCTATGTATATTCTGCGTGTGTGTGTGTGTGTGTGTATGTGTGTGTGTGTGTGTGTGTGTGTGTGTTCTCTATGCAGTCCTGGTTGTCCTGGGACTTGCTATATAGGCCAGGCTAGCATATCTCCCTGACTCTGCCTCTCAAGTGCTGGGATTAAAGGTTTACACCACCACACCCAGATCCTATGTGTCTTTAATTCTTCCTTCACATCTAATTTTAGACCAACCGCATGTCAAATGTCAACGATCACAAACGGCTAGTGGTTACTGCCTGGGGCCACTGCAGCACAGAGCTCAGCTGTGGGAACTCAGACCTCCAAGTCCTCACGAATTTCAGAGGACAAATGGAAATCCCTTAACTTCTGTCCTCAGTGTCCTCGGACTTAGCCTGCTGTCTTCACTTCTGATGCGCCTCCTGACACCCCCAAGGCATCCATCCCTCCTCTAAACTCAGCCCCACAACCCGTCTGTATCACTGGGTCTCATTCCTTCCTTTTTGAAGGAACTGTTGTCTCACCCTTCCCCTCATGCCTCCCTCCTCTCTGTCAGCCAATGAGCAAAGAGAGACAAGATTCAAAACAGGTATAAGGCCTCTGCACCCAGCAGAGAGAGCCATGGGGGACTCGGGGCCCATGCTAGAGCTTCAGAGGAAGAGGGGACTGGACCAGGGCTCGGGTCAACGGAAGACATTTTCCTCGGTGCTCCGGCTGAGGGTCTGCTGACCATATGGCTGGAAGCAGCAGCTCCTCTGATAATGCAAAGCAGACCCACTTCAGACTTGTGGCAGCTGGTGGGCAGAAGGCTGGGCCCCTGGGCCTCGGGAGACCAAAGAGCAGAGGCAAGGAGGACTCTTTCTTTGACCTCCTATCCCTTTTGGTTCCCTGCTTCAGCCTTCTCATCCTGCCTCTGACCCTTCCCAGCCATACCAGACACCCCTCTATCCTGCCTGGCCTGTGCCTAGGATCCAGCTCTTAGCCCAGCTCCTTCGAAGTGAGCAGGCATTCCCAGCACCTGCCCTGGAGTGCTCCTGAATACTGCCCCAACTCAGGCTCTTATCAGCAGCTCCAGGTGCAGGGTGAGAACTCCCAGGCCCAGGAAGTAACCCCCAATCCCCATCATGCTCCACCTAGATATTGACCTCTTCCAGGTCCACAGCCATTTAGGAGATGAAGCTAGGGACATTTCCCAAAGGTGCCATCATGGAACACACTGGAACATTCTAGTTCTCATCCCTCATCTCTCCCAGGGCACTCAATGGTGCCCCCTTCAGACCACATCCGGGCATTTCCCAGACCTGGTGATACTCCTTCCCAGCAATCCCTGCCCACCCACCACTCCCTAATCAGTGGTTCGAATGTTTCCAGCAACATTCCCAAAGGGCTCATGGAGAGGTGAGTTTGGGTCTCCTCCCCAAGCTGGGATTACTCTCTCAGGAGTAAGAAAAAGAAAAGAAAAATCTAGGCATGCCCTCCTTATTCCATAGCCTAGTGA